ACCGACAAAGAAATAGAGTCGAAACGAGGAAGTGTGCAAAAATTGCACATGCTAGACGATTTGGCAAGCTAGAAAATGAACATGTTGGGCATTCAACAGATCGTCTAGCGGTCACCAGACAACACTTCAAAAGCACCCATCAAGACGGTCTGGCGGTAAAGTTCGTCGAGTTACATACAATTGAAGTGTTGGACAGTGGGTGAACAGAGCTAAGGCTCCACGAGAATATTTGATCGTCTGTTGAACAATCTACATTGAAGCGATGAACCGTCTAGCAAGATCTAGTAATTTTGTGACAATTGTACTATTGCTAATCAGAACATGCAACCTTTTGATATCACCACGAAGGTTTAAAATAAGGTGAACTTGTATCGATGTTTGCATGATGATATAAGTAAGAATTTGTTGTTGCCTAATGTTGGTAACTTGGTATTTTCAATGTGTTTAGGAACAAAGGTGATGATGACGCGAACTTGAGAAAGACACTTTTTATGTCCTCTATAACAGATGGGGCGTAGATACACCATGGACAAGATTGGTCTGCTTATTTGATAAGTTTTCAAATGAATTCAGTCCCACTTCAATAACACATAGTCAAAGCCTCTGAATCAGCATGACATATTGTTGTTGTTTTCTGTCGAGTGTTGTGGCATTGCCTTGGACCTTAACACATAGTCAAAGAGGAGATGAAAGTAGCAGATAGGCACAGATAACGAGGGGAATAGAGATATAATTAGTGGGAAATATTTTTTATAGCTCCCCACCTATAAGTAAAACGCAATGGATTCACGTGGATTCATGACTGATGTGTCAAAGAGTGGCAACATTTGGTAGCCCTCCGCTCGAGAATCACAGAGCAGAATAGAGCAAAGTGCTACTAAAGAGAACCTAAAGGCACAATGGTTAAGTTGGAGCAACACATAGAGGATCTAGGCAAGTAGTAAGTAGATGGTCAACATGTTTAGAGATATTTTCTTTTAAAAATAGAAAACCAACAAGTGGTAAGAATATAAGAAAATAACTTGTATGTAGGTTGTACAAAACCCAAAATTTGCAAGTGAGGTTTTGTCCCCCCTATTGTTTATGCACTTTATCATCAAAATCACAACCACTACAAATCAATACATACATAATAAGAGGTAGGGTGAACAATCGGTGGACCCCACAAGTCACTGAAGAATAAGTCACCATAACAAAAGGATGCAAATTGCTGGGCCTATTCAACCTACATTCACTTGCCATGTCATTGTAGTGGATCCACGTGTCACGTATGAGCCTAAAATGCTAACGAGAGTCATTTCCATGTGAAACGGTGTTTCAGTTAGCAAAAGCATCTTAGCTGTCATGCATAGTATAGCTCACTTTCAAGTTAACAATGTTTTGTTTTTAACTTTTTTACATATTATGTCTTTTACTGCTGGATCTAGATTTTTTTGCATTGAAGTTGTTTTCTTAACATGTAAAGAGAAAATTAGGGACCAAGCAACATTTTTAGTTAGTCGATATTTAATTTATATAATATTTTAGTAACTAGTACCATGTCAATTCTATAAATATATGTTTGTTGCAAGTTTAATGAAACTTTTGGCATAATTGTAGCATTTAATTTAGCTTGTAATAAATAGAATTAATGGAAGGTTACTTGAACTTAAATGAAAGGTGCCATTAAATATCTTATATCACTCTTTATTTTCTTCAACAACAATCTTCTATGTGTGAATAAATACACATTCTCAATCCTGTTATTTGATTCGATTTTTTATATGTACCATATCTATACTACTTTATAACTACATTTAAAAAAGCCTAGCTAGATGTGATGTTGTATCTACCATGCCACTTACCACTTAATTTTCATAGCTTCAATATCACTTTGATCTATCAACAAGACTCATCAATGAGAACTTCATGATAGATGTCCACTTTATCATCTTCATAGCTTTGTCTCTAGCGGTGAAGGATAGAACCAATTTAAGGTGTGACAAAGTTGATTCATCTTGGTGCCACGATGTGCTTGTAGGCTTATTTTTTACCTTAGTTTGCGGCTCTACCTATCCACTACTTTCGCTCCTCCTAGAGTGTGTCGATTTAAGCAAATGATACTAGTACTTTATGCCACTAGCTTATTTTCATGACGCTTAGCTCATGGGTTCACCACTCATAGTACTTGGACTGACCAACTCTTCCACGGATCCAGTAATGTTTTAGCTTACTTCTTATTGACCATTTGTTGTAGCCATGATGATAGCTGGCGATGTGATAGAAATCACTAATGAAAATGTAAAGGGGAAGCTGATATGTACTCCCTCGATTCTAGTATACAAGACGTAACTTCCTCAACGCCAAGATCAAGGAGGGAGTTTAATCACCGCGTTTTTTCAAGAAGGTAGGGCTTTGGTCCCGCCTCCAATTTACTATAATGGCCATGTTTCCCGTCACACGCCATTACTAGCTCCAAGCAGCCATGGAATACTTACTTTTCTCTCCCACATAGCACCATGCAGCCATACATGGTAACCGTGTTAACTTCACTTTGGCCCATGATCACAAGCGAGCAAAAGCTCCGAATTCACCGTTGTCCTACTGTCGCATGAAGACGGCATAGTCACACAACGCTTGCGCATTGGGAGCTCCAGTTGGGCTTCTTGTTGCGTGCATCGGGTATGCATACATTGAGCACTCATGACCAGCCGCCTCGCCTCGTGACCAGTTGCCTTGCCTATCCTTAAGCCTCCTCCAGCACGTTCTCTGCTATCATCATCACCTATGATAGAGTGCGAGAGTGAGTGGGAAGGTGGCACTCATTGTATGAGAGAGATGCAAATAGCATGATGGTTGCAGGAGTACTAATACATATACCTAGCTCACGTGAGAGGCTCTAATGTTTCCTAACGGAATGTGAAAGAGTCCAGCAATCGACAGAGCTAAGTGACGATGGTTGCATGAGTATTAGTATCGTAGTACATATACCTAGCTCGCGTGAGAGTATCTAATGTCTACTAATGAAACGCAAAAGAATCTAACAATTAGTAATAAATGTTGTATGTAGAGCTAAGTAGCGTATGCGAGCTCAGAAGTCGAGTGCCCTTTATCTTAGGACATGGAAAAAAGACAGAAAATATAATATTAAAAAATAATGAAGATATACTCCCTACGTCCCAAAATAAGTTGTGATTCTATGATTGGACATGGAAACCAATACAAGATGGCAAATTACATAAATACCCTTACTGTTGTAAAATTGCTAGTCCAAGGACCCACACGGTGTTGCAGCTGCTGCGCTTGCCATCCATGCTTAGCGACTGCTCGACTCTAAAGAGAGTCAGACAGATAGCCACGAGACGAGGACTCGCAGAGCATCCAGAGAGCCTCCGCAATCTAGAGATAATCTCCGTTGGTTCTTTTTCTTTCCTTTTTAACAAGATCTTTTTTCTTGGTCCCACACGAACTGGCGCTGTGCTTCTATTGTGCTGTCACGCTGGCACCATAGATGGATACAGTACCCTATATGAGCTATATGTACCTATTAATTTGGGACAAATTTTGAATCATAGAAGCGCTTTTAGGGTGCGTTTGGTTCTTAGCCTAATCGCTCCAGAACTCATCCTGCCACACTTTAGGCACGTTGTGCTGGTGTTTGCTTCACGCCGCAACTGTGTCATGCAACACACACGCCACAGCTTTGTAGCTCAATTTAGCCATCTCCACTGGCCAAAAGTGTGCGGACGTTCTGTCTACCACAGCTTTAGTGCTGTTAGAAGTTTGGTTCGGTGAACTGAGGCTATGAACCAAACACGTCCTTATTTTAGGACCGAGGGAGTACGATGTATATCCAGCCTTACCATGAAGACTACAGAGCCCTCAGCCACTGCGGTCTCCTGTTGAAGAGCATCAATGTTCAATGCAACGGAAACATAACCATTGGCAAATGCAAGAAGCTTGAAATTTTGTGGAATGTGTTGGTGCACGCACCATTTTTTGGAGTGCCACGTAGGCTCGGGTGGGGGCTACCGAGGCTGGAGGTTCGGCGCCTACCGAGCCGCAGGACAACTGGAGACAGCCTGTCTCGCACCCCCCCTCCTCTTCTTCGCTCTGTCTCCGCTCTCTCTCCTCCCCTCCCCGTTCACCCTTTCTCTCTCCTCCTCCTCTCCCCCCTCTCTCTTCCCCCATTCCCCGCTCCCCCGCCTCTCCGTCTCCGTCGCTAGGGCTCCATTCCCCTGCACCTCCGCCGCCGCCGGATCCCAGCTCGCCTCGCCGCCGCCGCCGCTTCTACGTCAGAATCACCGGATTCTGTGGTGTTTCTCGGCTGCCTCAGCTTCCGCCGCCGGGAGGCCCCTGGCGGCGCTCCCCGCCGCCCTCCGGCCTTCGCTGAGGTGATTTGCTCGGAGCTTGAGCAGTTTTTCCTAAGCTTTTCTTTGGTGATCTAGTGCTTACTCCGGTGGTTAACGGTCTGGGTTTGAGCCTTTTTACCCGTGGGGAACGAGCAAATATGTTGCCTATTGGAGTATTTAAGAGCTAACAAGTGCTATTCTTGCTAGTATTTCTGAAATGTTTAGGGGTTAAAAAGTTTCTGTGTTTTAGTGCAGAAATGGTAAGCTTTTAGCTAGCTGATTGCCTGATTCAAGTAATCTACCAACTTAAATGCCCTAGATTAAGTGCCTATTAATTTAGCTGATCAAGCTACATACTTCAGTACGATATTTTTTTATTTGTCCTGGTATGAGCACTGGAGGTTTAGGGTATAATCAGCTTAAATCAAATGAAATTTGCCATTGAGGTGTGTGTGGGGTGAAGACAAAATAGCTTCTTTGGTAATATTTAAGTTTGGTAAATATGCTCTAGTGTTGTCATTAATCTTATACAGTTATTAGTTGAATGCAGTCCTCTAGAAGCTGTCCATCGCTGAGATTTGAGAAGGCTGCTGCTGAGTATATGGTATTTGTTGGCCATTGTGCTGTCCATGCGAGCAGAGAGCATGCGTGGCAACTGTGCTTCGGGTGATGCCCCTGACCAGAGTAGCTGCCGATGCATTCGGTGTGTTGACAATCGCACTGTTTGCACTGTTTGCTGCTCTGGGCCTCTTCTGCATTTTCCAGTCGGTCTACTTCAGGTGTCGGATTCGGAGAGGACCCTCCTTCCTTCCGCTTGGTTACTTTAACGGTCCATGGGTGACTCGCATTGCTCTGATTCTGATCACAATTTGGTGGGGAGTAGGTGAGATAGTGAGATTGAGCTTCTTGAAGAAAAAGTTGTTCTCCAGCTTAACATGGCAGAGGAACATATGTGATGTGTACATACTTTCCAATCTAGGGTTTGCAGAGCCAGGGATCTTGTTTGCATTTGCTTTTCTGCTCCATGGCTCGTTACAAAAGAAGGAGCTGGGCACTTTAAACCAAAGATGGAATTGGAAGACCATGGCCTACATGTTTATTTTCTGCATTCCAGTGTTCTCGGTGCAGGCAATCCTAGTGTTTGTTGGGCCGAAGTTTGTTAGAGATGAGAACCATGATCTTGGGAGAAGGAAGATTGCTAAATACTTCATACGGACGTACTCACCGGTTGGAGATACCAGTGTTTGCACTTACCCATTGTTTGGCACCATTTTTCTTGGACTTGTAGATGCTTTGCTGATGAGCTATGTATCATATGTTGGGTCACGGGTGCTGTCCTTGGTTATTAACAAGTCACTGCGAAGGAGGGTTTATCTACTGATGGTGTCTGTGCTCTGCTTCCTTCCTTTTAGGGTGCTTCTCCTCGGGTTTTCAGTGCTGCCCAAGCCAGGAGATGTTGCCTTTGAGGGTATTATCTTCCTGTCATTTTTGATGATGCTGTCCTGCACAACTGTTGGGATACTTTTGCTGGTTTACTACCCTGTAGCTGATTCATTGGCCCTCCGAGATATAGGCCAGAGGGACATAGCAGAAATGGTGCCTTATGATGATTACTACTATGAAGGTGCATCACTTGTGGCCAACCAGAGTTTCCGAGAAATCGAGCGGAATTCTGACACTTCAACGAAGCGGGGATCCATATCCTTCCGCACAATGATCAGAGAAGACCAGCTTCAGCAGGACGGTACGGATGAGATTGGCTTCTCTTCTCGCAGTGGTGTCCATATTGGATCACCCTCAGGCTCTTCGCCAAGTGCAGCAATGCCAATGCTCCCTCTCAAGGAAATCCCTAGATACTAAGAAGTATTCACCTGTGCCTTTTGCCCCTCTACTATGTTCTCCCCCTTTTTTTCCTTCTCTTTCCTCTTACTACCTTAATGATAACAGTTTTGTGGCAATCAAAAGGTTTTTGTAAAGTTTTTTTCCAAGTAGCTTAACTCATCATTAGCCCAGTACTCTAATTCCATTTATCAAAGTAGCAAGTAGCTAGATCTTGCAATGGCTGATGAGCTGTGCTCTGGCATTGGCTGGAAGAGGCTGAGTTGGAATTCACTTTTGGTTGGTTTTGCTGCTCCACAACTCATAATATCTTAGCCAATAAATGGACTAGGCTGGAATGGGCCTCTGCTGTGTGTCGCTTATTCGCTTATTCCTTAGCTGTTCCTCTCTGCGACAGCTGTGCGATGAGTATATTATATTTGCTACTTGGTCTTGAATTAAAGCAGGGGCTGCCGGATATAAATCGGTTGGGGGATGTGCTTAGTAGTATATATATGCTGGGTAAGGACCAAGAGGACCACCACCAAGGCCTTCCATATCTGTTCAGCCCTTTCTTTTCTATTTGAAAAACAGTTTAACGGTGAAGATATCAAAGTAACTACAAATGTGTGTGACCAAATCAAGTCAAATAGTAATTGAAGTTAACTTCAAATTGTTTTTCACCCTGGTTTGGTGTATCATTTTCACCTGTATGTTCAATGAATTTGATATCAGTATATCACTAGATGTGGATGGCCAAAGGGCCCAAGAGCTCTGCAATGCTTCTAGCTGGCAGACAGCTTGGAGTCTGCGGATTTTGTCTTTGCGAGGATTTTGTCGTGAGCTGGCTTGGAGTCCGTCGCGGTTCACCCCCTCCTGTCTTTATGCCTGTTGACTATGCATAGGTCTGCGGATGTTTCTAGTGTAAATAAAAATGTTTATGCGTGATCTAGATGCCCGTTGCCTGGAATCCAAAGCACTCCTCGCTGGAGTTAGTCAACTGGACAAGTGCAGGCCGTGTTATTTTTGCCGTTGGCTTCTGTCCTGCATCAATTTTCTACTGCACCAGTGTTCCTGTCAGTACATCATCGGATGCCTCATGCCTGAAGCCGTTGGACGTATGGGTAATTCTTTTTTTTATTGCCTCAACTTTGATTAAAAGATGTAGTATTTAAACTCACGCACTAATTTACACCACACGCACACACCTTATCATACTAACACATATCCCTAGTGCGCAAGTTAGACCTACGACCTATATCTAAGGCTAAAAGAATACGGCTGAAAAAATATGACAGTGGTGACACAGAAAAACACTGTTCCCGGTGAGGCATCCGGTGCCGATGCTAGGCATGGAACCCGGGCGGGTGGCCTGCACACTCAGCAGCGCACACCAACTGAGCTAGCACTAGTTCTGCTAGTACTAAGCTACTACTTCGTTCGTCCTGATTTGTTCTTGATTTCTTTTTTAACCGGCCGTGCCTCCTCTGTTTTTAAGTATTAGTACTACTACTGCTAAAGTGCATGTGATGTGTGTTTTTTGATGGTCGGGTAGGTATGATTAGGTTTGTGGGGGCTGCGCTGTGCCTGTGTGTTTCGATTACTCTTTGGAATCACTTCTCTCTCAAACAGGAGCAAAGCAAAGTGAACGTTACTAATTGTACTGGGCAAATGTTGCAACAAGATGTCCTGTCGGCGCCTTGTTTATTCCATCTTTCTCTTTTGTTTCTCGGTCGTTGAATCTTCCAAGAGTTCGTGCTGGACAAGTTCGATCGATTTCGGCGCCTTGTACAATGGCTGGCGCCAGGCCGCCAGGAGAACTCTCAACTGCGCGATCTCTGCGTAAATAAACCAAGTTAAATCCCGAAGAAATTCATTCGTGTGGGCTGGCCGCTGGGCGCTGGCTGTATTGGACACATGAAATGAAACCAGGGGTTCTTTCAAGTTGCAACGCATGGGTCATGGGAGGTGCGTACGTTCAGTACAGACTGCATGTGCATCGGGAGCATCACAGCATTTCCTTGGCACGCCGCCTAGTACTAGCGCTGCATGTATGTGTTTGGCGACAAATCAATCGCCCGATGCCGTTCCGTTTGCTTAATCATCGAGCACTCCAAACTGTCCTAAGTGTATCGTAAAGAAACGGCGAGTTTTTCCTTTTTTGGTGACGATGATGATCCATCGCGTGGTCCCGGGCTCCCAATCCCAGGTGGATCGCAGGGTGGAATCGTCCTAGTTGGACGCGCATCTCTCCTGCTGAATCGTGGGAGTGTGAGCTCGCACTAGCACAAGTGGGGAACTCATGTGCCCGGTGCCAGCTTGTCGACGACATTCCCGAGTGGCTTGCTTGCCCGTGCAGCGGCGACCCCTTGGCCCTTGCTGTGGGCGGGCGGGCGGCGCCGCGGTGCTCGCTGCGCGAGTTTGCTCGGCGCACGCTCTCCGTCGCTCCGACTCCGAGCTCGATCACGTGCGTGGCTGGCCTCGTATTTCAGTTGGGCCTCTTGTGCCGATAAGCTTCCTCGTGGATTTAGACCCACGACGCAGCGTCTGGCGGCCCACCCTCCTCGCTCCGCCACACAACGCGCGAGCCCGCCGGCACCATCCAGTCCCAATACAGCCCGCTCTACTCGAGTCGAACCTCCGTATATTCGCGAACGGAAGGGCGTTACGGTAACTTGACGTGCCGGGTGCCGCTCGCGTTTCTCGTACGCGGTGTGTGCCTGCCTGCTGCATCGTCTCGTTTATACGAGAGAACGCGACACTGCAACAGGGCCGTCCGTCTCCCCGCCGCCGCCTCCAACTGCGAGCGGAACCCTAGCCCTAGCCCAGGCCCCCCTCTGCTTCGTCCTCGGCAGCGATGGCGTCGTTCTCTGAGGCACCCCCGGGGAACCCAACTGCCGGCGAGAAGATCTTCAAGACCAAGTGCGCGCAGTGCCACACCGTCGACAAGGGTGCTGGCCACAAGCAAGGTGAGCTTCGGGGCCAATCCCTGACGGCTGACCCTGAGAGTTCTTCTTTGTACCTGATGCCTTTGTAGACCGATCGCTTGATTTCAAGGGGTGACGCCGATAGGGATTTTTTTTCCCGGGAGGCACGTTGCTTCCGGGGTCGTAGTCGTAGCTCGTCCTGGGTGGCGGTCTGACGGAGGCTTCAGTTGCTGTGCTTAGTGTGATTATAACACGTCAGATCACACGCGATTGCATCACAGATGCACATTACTCTGGTTGCCAATCCAATCCGAGCTAGTCCCAAGCGCTTCCTTGTGGTCTCTAATTTGTTAGGTTCCTGCATTATACAGAACTCAAAAACGTTGTATGGATTGCGTGGTGTTGTCCACGTTAGTTAGCCAATAAATCTTATATGGGGTACTCCTATAGTCCTATTGTATATGCCTGTGGATTTTGAAGAGTCATTTTCCGTCCTTGGTATCAATGTACTCTTCAGCTGTTCAGGATACTGCAGTGTCAAGTGCGCATGCGCTGGTTTTAATGTTATTGTAGTGTATTACTAACTAATTAGACTTGGCTTGGTATTCAAACCATCTGAAGCTAGCAATGATAATCGTGTTGATACTTTTCAGGTCCTAATTTGAGTGGTCTGTTTGGGAGGCAGTCTGGTACAACACCTGGTTACTCTTACTCCTCGGCTAACAAGAACATGGCTGTGATTTGGGAGGAGAACACTTTGTATGACTACCTGCTTAATCCTAAGAAGGTATGGCTAGCATTGACACTCCCCAAACCATGATGATTTCTTTCACCATGTGTCACCAGCATATGTTGCATCCACGCATCCGCTTTGTATGTTGAATGTGTGGCTCCACTTTGTCTGTTCCATTTACCTGCTGTAGAGCACATGTATGGAATGAGTTGCAAGCTTTGTGCTCAGTTGGATATGTATGGAATGAGTTGCAAGCTTTGTGCTCAGTTGGATTGGTAGCACCCTGCAAGCTTGCTCCTAGGATTGCTTATAATACTTCTGTCTGTTTTTCAATCTACAATTTCCTACACATGAATCAGTGATATTTGCTATTCTAATAATCTGGAGAACAAACTCACTAATACCTGTATCCCATTTTAATGTTGATCTCTGGTTCAGTGGCTTTTTTTGTTCCCCCTGCTTCCGTACCCTGGTGTCTGTAGATGTTCATCAATGTAGAATGCTTGTTTAGTTGCTACTAATACTTGCTGTGAAAGGATGAACTACCAAACATGATCCATATAGTTTTGCATACCATTTGCCATATTTGTTCTCTCTTGATTTGTGTGCTGCCATTGTTTGATTCAGGGCCAAATTCTTAAATGAGAAACTTTCCCTTTGATTTAATATAGCACAGCAGCAATACTAAACTATTGTGTTTTCTCAGTCACAAAAAAAAAAAAAATCTATTGTGTTTTCTCTATGCAGTACATTCCTGGAACTAAGATGGTATTCCCTGGACTGAAAAAGCCGCAGGAACGTGCTGATCTCATTGCATACCTGAAGAATGCCACTGCTTGATGAGGGTGCTGCTGTGGCTTTAAAGATGAAGAGCAGCAATTCTTTTTGCAGTTAACATAATGATACAAATTTACTTTAATTTGACAGGTTGGATGAACAAGAAAGTTAAGAACTCCAGGTAGTTCTGTAACGATTTTGTCTATTGTTGGGGAAAAATACCCCAGAAGAGCTTTTGATTAGTGGTTGAAATGTGACACCACCATAATACTTTTGACCTGATGAGCATTCAAACACACATTTCGGAAGGTTAAGATACCTTTATTATTACGTTTTCATGTTCGTTTCTCATTTGCTGTTTTCCGAAAAGCTATCTGATTTTTCTTATGACTTATATATCTTTTAGGCCTTGTTTGGAGAATGGGATCCTAGGATCCTAATCCCTAGGATTTTAGTACTAAATCCTAAAATTTCTCAGAGCAGTTTCTCTTCTCCTAAATGGGCTCTTAATGTTAAGCCAAACTGTGGTAGGAGACTGTCTATGTACTGGGAAAATTGTGACATGGTTTGGGAACTGAAAAATAGCTGTGCAACTTCTTGAATTAGGTTATTTTTTCAGAAAGGACGGCAAAGGCGTTACCGCAATTTTTATTAGAAGAACAAAAAAAGATGATGGCCCAGTTTTTTGAAGTGAAAACTGGGCCAAAAACCACCGAACTAGCATACAACGACTCAAGCTCGAAGACTGAAATTGAATTAGGTTCAAAAGAGGTCATTATATCATTCCTGGTGTCGGTGCAGAAAGTGACCAACACGTAAATATTTGTAGTTTTGTTGTACGTTGTGATCGGAGGTGGCCTAGCACTCAATGACACAGGGTTTATACTGGTTCAGGCAACGTGCCCTAGTTTGAGTTGGTCGGTGATTTTATTCCTGAGTCCTGGTGCTCGAAGTTTGCGTGTTTACAAACGTGGTTACAAGATCCTGGTTAGAAGGGTCGGTTTCTAAGTGTTCTGGTTCGAACTTGATTCGATCTAGTGAACTTGATCGATCTGAATGAATCTTCTTGTTGGAGGAGAGCGCATCCACTTTTATAGATGAAGGGGGTGGCTTTACAAACGAGATGGAGGGAGTACGTTCGCTGCTAAGTTTTGCCGCTCACGTCGGCGGGTATAAGATGATGGTAGGCGCCCACAATACTGTAGAATGTCAGATGCACGTGGGAGGTTGTGTCGTCTTCTTCATGTATGGCAGATGTCGGTACCTGCTATACTGTTGATGCCCAAAGGCATGTGAAAGGTTTTACTGTGTTCGTCTGCTACGGTAAATGCCGGCGCCCACAACACTGTCGATGTCTCAGAGGCACGTGGGGAGCCTTACCGTATTTGTCTGGTATGGGAGTTGATGGCGCCCACAACATTGTTGGGAAAATGTCGGCGCCCACAACACTGCTTGGGTTCTGTTATGTTAGGGATGTCGCAGGGAAGTGCCCTGCAGATGTACAGGGTACGGTCCTCGGTATTACGGTTGACTTGGGTGTCCTGCCTTACCTTCTTCGTTTGTTTCCTGGTCCTTACCGAGCGGGTGTATGTGGTCGGTTGGTCCCAGTCGGCTCTGATTGCGTCAGCCGGAGCGGAGTTGTAAGCAGGGGTTCGGCGCATCCCGGGTCGGAGAAGCGGGTCGGAGTCGGAAGTGGTGTTGGACCAGGCCTTTCAGTCGGAGAGGCCGTCCGGAGGCGGGCTGGAGACCGAAGTGAGTGCTTCCGGTCGGAGAGGCGGACTGGAGTCGGAAGCGGATGTCGTTCCTACTCGGCCAGGCCTTTCGGTCGGTGATTGGATCGTCCTTCTGGCCTGTCGTTTGGGTACTTGGGTCGCCCCATGAGTTGTGCGTTGTTTGCAACGTTGTCTGCTTGGGCCGAGCCTTTGTTGGGAAGCCGGTCCGCGACGGACCCCGGGTTTATGAACCCGACAGGAGCCCCTGAGCCCCCGGACAATTCGGGTAGAATCGTTTGGGGATTTTTGTCTTGATGGTGGGTGAGCGCGAGCGCACCCGCGGGTGTAGCCTCCGAGCCTCCGAGCGATTCGGGCAGAATCATCTGGGGGTTTTTCGTGTTTGTCGGCAGGTGCACGTGAGCGCACCCGCGGGTGTAGCCCCCGGGCGATTCGGGTAGGATCGCCTGGGGGGTTTTGTCAGCGGACGTGTGTGCGTGTATTTTTAGTCGAGTCAGTTATTTTTATTTTTAGGGGTCGGACGAGACGGAGCTCGCGGGTCCTGGCGTCGGTGCGCGCTGTGGGATCGGACGAGTCGGAGTCGTGGATCCTGGCCTCAGTGCAGCCCACGCAGCTGAGGCAGACAGTTTAGGGATCGGACGAGACTGAGCTCGCAGGTCCTGGCGTCGGTGTGCGCCGTGGGATCGGGCGAGTCGGAGTCGTGGATCCTGGCCTCAGTGCAGCCCGCGCAACCGAGGTAGTAAGTTTAGGGATCGGACAAGACGGAGCTCGCGGGTCCTGGCGTCGGTGCACACCATGGGATCAGGCATGTCGGAGTCGTGGGTCCTGGCCTCAGTACATCCCACGTAGCCGAGGCAGTGAGTTTAGGGATCGGACGAGACGGAGCTAGCAGGTCCTTGCGTCGGTGCGCGTCGTGGGATTGGTCGAGTCAGAGTCGTGGATCCTGGCCTCAGTGCAGCCCGCGCAGCCGAGGCAGTGAGTTTTTGGGATCGGACGAGACGGAGCTCGCGGGTCCTGGTGTCGGTGCGCGCCGTGTGAAGCGACCTGATTTCTGCGAAGGAAAATCCACAGAGTCGAAGTGTAATAAGACCTTTGTAGATCATATTACCCAAATTCCAGTCGAATATCGCATCCATACAACGATAATATCATAGTACAAATAGTGCGGAATTACATAAATTATTACATCGCCGCATTGGCGGAATCAAAAGTAGCATTCATCCAGAACAGCTTGAAGATAATATCACCAAACTCGAGAGTAGGAACGAACCCCTTAACCGTCAAACTCCTCAGAGCTATACTCCTCAGCAGAACCTGTGTGCCAAAATTTATCAGTACGATTTGTACTGGCCACTCCCACCCCATGAGCATTGCTTTGTGGAAATTGGATACAAGTTGGATATAATCAAAAGGAACCTATAAGGCTGGGGTTTCCTATGTATTAGCATTTCAAGTATATAATAACAGTTTGTCAAGTTTTAACATCATTCCCACACCCATTCCACCCCATTCCCATTCCAGAGCCAGGTTTCGATCCTGGGATCGAAACACCACCATCTCCACACCATCACCATACCACACCCATACCATCGCTCAGTCGACAGGCCAACTACCTCTCGACACTGTCTCAAGGCCTGTAGCCCCTAGCTACGTCCGAACACTCACTCCCAGGGGGAGAAAAGAAGGACTCATCTCACTATCTAGTTTAAGCGAAACCCAGGAAAGGTCCATAGCCAACAAGTCGGCATATGTATCGATCGATCAACCATACATTCTACAGAGGTTTTACATAACCACAAGATCCGCCTTCCTCGCTGACCGTCGTCAACTGGGCTGATTCTGGCCGCTTGCTAGCCTCGGATAATGTCACTCTACCATTCAGCCCTGGTACACCCCAAGTCTAGTCTGGGGTGGCAGAAACTGTGAGTCATGAGCCGGGTCCACAAGGTCTCCATGAAGTCTCGGAAGGGTGTGGGGGAAATCCTCCGCGCCCCGTACCTCCCTCACACTGTCCGCCATCAACCTAGCAGTAGTGGCAATATCCTACCAAGTAGTCCGGCCGTCCCGCACCATATAGGGCGAGTGGTACGTAAGGCTTCCCGGTGAATCTGAGTACTAGTAAGTCCTTAGGGATGACCAAGCCAGAATGTCTTCATCAGGGTTTTCATTTACCGTGCCACCACAGCACCTCCACCCTGGGCTCCTGCCATCACAGGATCACACCCAGGGCCACCTCATATACCATTTACCCACCACAGGTATCCATTCCAGGGGTGCCCAGGTAGCACCCCACGGCAAGACTTGCCCCAGGCTTGTCGTATACTACAACTTGGTCGACACAACCCTCACCCTCCACGCACCCAACTCACACACGCAGCACTCTCCTCATAGTCCAGATAACACCAGTTTTCCACCACGCATCAATGTAGTACAAGCGTAGTAGAAGTAATAAGCAATGAAATATAGCAGCAAACGTGTGACTAGCCTAACAGTAGGGTGAGCAGGGGTAAGGTTGCGTCAAGGTAAAGGCCATCAAGAAAGCAAACTACCATGCAAGTCCTATCATAGTGTGATCATAACAATAAAGTAAAGCACTAGCATTTCTATTTTAGCCATGCGTAATAGGTGCTACGAGATTGGGTGGGATGTGGCACCTTCAGTGAAGTCGTCTCCATACTCCTCACGGTACTCTCGATCCTCGTCCGTCTGGTTCTCCTCTAAGTCTGCATATGATCGAATTATAGTCGCGTTAGCGATGCCTATAGAATAGCACAAAGAAGCAATGAAGATTCAAAAGAGCCAAATGCACTCAAACATGGGTTCATTGCGTAGAGCTCGATTTTAGATGAATTTTGGTCTTGGTCTTATATTTTTCTGAGATCGTATGGATTAGTTATATATTTCCAAAGATTAATTTAAGGCTGATTAATTCAGGGTTGACACGTGTCAAACTGTGACTGGTTCACGTGGCATGTAGGGACACAGCTGGTGTGGTGGTCGGAGAGGTCGCCGAAGTGGTCGGAGAGCTCGCCGACGTGGTCGGAGAGATCGTTGAGGTGGTCGGAGTGGTCGCCGAAGTGGTCGGTGGGCTTGCCAAGGTGGTCGGAGAGATCGCGGGGGTGGTCGGAGTGGTCACCGACGTGGTCGGAGAGATTGCCGAAGTCCTTGATGCTGGCGTGGTCTCTTCATCGGCATGACGTCAGCATGGCGCCATCCGAGCTAAACCGCGGTTGACAGGTGGGTCCGGGGTCAAACGGTGTCTGACGGGTGAGGCGCAGTTCATGGTGAACCCGCCTGTGTTGGTCCATAGACCGTAGAGCCGGTCTATGAAGA